GTCCACTTATGAGTGGTTCAATTTTCATTGTAAACTGTTTTTTTGTCGAAAATTTTACCCCTGGTTCCTCGCAGGGTCTGGTCAAAAAATGTTCTAACAACAACTTTTTTTTACAAGAACGGTCTCGTCTGCTAATTTTTTTGAGATTTGAGATCAGAATACTTCAGTTGACAAAATCATACAGTTTTCGTAGAAATTCCAGGGAAACACCTAGGAACCTTCCCTCGTGAGTGTAAGTGAGTGCTAAGAGAAGAGCTGCATTCGCGCCCACACGTATTCATGATCCTTTCTTTCAGAGAAGCAAATTATGTTTGGTGCCCTTGATAATGTAGACAAATATCATAGATCAGAGCTTCTTTGGAAACAACATTTGAATGTTTGAAATCTCACCCTGAAAACAACTGGTTCGACGAAAGCTAGACTGCAAAAGCATCCGATTGACTGAACTTTCAGTCTGAAAAAATCTTATTGGACCAGAGCTAGACAGCTAAAGCCTTTGATTGACTGAGACCGTAGCACGAAAAAGCCTAATTTGATGAAGGGGCTGCACAAAATAGCTTCCATAGTCGTAGATAGTTACTCTTAACTTTCACAAATACCTGTGAACACATGAGTATACACGTGCCAGCAAACACACACAAGCTTACTTGATTCCATATGATCCAGTCGTCAGTCGAGGGGAAAAGGAAGAGAATGAACAAAAAGGTATGTGTAAAAACCCACTGTGTGCATGGTAAAACTGAAGAATGACTTAGATTAGTTGAAAATGAACCTGTCTAGAAAATTTCATCTGTGTGATATAGTTTAAAGCGGCCTGGTAAAGTTTATAAATCGTTGAAATAAAAGCGAAATACAACAGAAAAGTCCGCATCTACTAAAAAAAGCTTTCCATAATGCCTCAGTTAATTTGAAAATACCACTTTATTCACTCAAGCAGTATATATAATATAATTCACCGTTTGATATGGTTGCATTAAACTGAATTTCTCGCCGTCTCCAACCGATCCAGTTTCCCCAGACAACGCGTGATTATGACTGCCAGCATAATTCATACTTATGCCAGTATATCCAGTTGAAATCGAATGTGAATGGGTACCTTCTCCTATTCTCCAACCGTCTTTGCCTGCATTCCACCTGCCATTTCCATTCAAAAAACCTGAACTTCCCGTTATACCACCATGATTATGTCCGGGATCATTGATCGAATGATAGTGATTGCCACTTAATGACATCGAAATGGAGCCGATGTCATGTGAATGTGAAGGCAGTTGATTCACTACAATTGTATGTGTTTCATTGCCCCCTGTTAAACCCAAACCGCCAGCAACCGTCGTACGCAATCCCAGCGAATCGACTCCTACTGGCACTCTACCTTGAAAGTCTGGTATATTAAAGGTTGTAATACCATCGCCTGATCCGTACTCTGTGCCTATCGTCGCAAAAAGACGTTGATAAACAACCCTTGAAACTGCTGATCCGTTGCAGAAGAGCCATGGAGCTGGTGGATGTGAGCGGCCACTATATAACTTTATTTCACCAGTGAGCAAAATACTGACTGGTCGCGAATCTCCGGTGGCTGTTGGACTGTTCATCGTACTAATATGTCTTATAATCGCACTTTGATCCTTATCAATGGTAATTTGTTTAGCGACCAGAGCGACTTGTAAGCTATCTGTTAGATCGCTCATTTTATAAACTTGAAATGATTTTGGTATCAATTTTTCACCTTCCCAATTGAAATCAACCTGTTGTTCATTGAGCAGTTTGACAACATCATCTTTAGAATATTTTTGATGATCTGTCTGTGCAAGTTTATCGTAAAATGAATTCTTTGAGGAAGAGGATGAACCACCATTAGCACCAACTGAAATACCCAGAAAAGATACACCGGCACCACCTTCTTTTGAACTGCTGCTGGACAATTCTTTCAAATATTCTTTATCGACACTAAGATATTTATCGGATGCCGTATGTTGTTCTGTATCGGAAGCATTTTTCGTAAATACTTTACTGAGTTCCGACGTAATTCGATCAGGACGTAAATCTGCTGACGACCATGTCTCATTAAAATGACCGGCATCGATTACAACTCGTTGAGCACTTTCCATTCCTAAAAAAACGAGAAAGTACATGAGTTTCGAAGAATTACAACTTTTTTGTGAATAGAAACAGTACGTCTCAGCGGCTAACAGCTAACAAATGATGCTACACTAGCTCGTTTGATCTCATCAGCCGCTTACCTTGTTGCAACAATGATATAAACTGATCTTCAAGTCCTTTTGCTAACGATTGTGTATCGACGTCTGAATTTTCGGAATAAATCATCTTCTTCACGTTCGTTATATACTGCCCGACAAATTTGGACGCCTGATTACGATGAATAAACTTTGCATCTGTATTACCACCGTCAGCTGTTGTCTTACTAGATATACTTTTCAATTGTTCAGCCGTGATTGATACCAATGATGTTGACGTATGTTTGAATCCATCAAAATAGAATGCAATTTCAATTTCATATTCACCACTGCTAATCATCTTAGCAACATTCTGTGCATTATCATCCGTTGAACATGAAAATCGTAAAATCATAACCAATGAATTTGGATGAACAGAATGGTACGGTTGAACGCCTGCTACAGGCGAATTGCTTCCCGTTACAATGTAGGCAGTCAAAGAATCAATCATTAAAGGTGCAATATCCCAATATTTTGAATATTCAGCTGTTTTCATATCAAATTTTTTTGCAATAGCTTCACGTGCCATATGTTCTACTTCCCTATCACCTAACATCAATCTGACACGAACTTCATTTTTCATTGACCATACCCAGATGTCACTTTTCGAAGTTTGCATCGGTGCCATAAGTGGAACATAGTAGAATATCCATCGATGTGGATTGACCTTATTTTCATTTTCATTGGCAAATGAGCTGTATATATAGATTTGACTGCCGTTGTAATTGAATAGTGTGAAGATATTTGTATTAACCGTACCGTCTGCCAAACTACGTTGACTAGGAACGACGAAAGTTGATGGTTCTTCGTGTTCTTCAACAGCATTCAGTAAAAAGCTGGTGAAATTGAAGGACTGCGTATCGTTAATGATTGCTAGGCCGTGAACCGTCAGCAGTGATAAGAAGAGAAACACAAGAGATGAAAAGACGAACCGTATCATACTGCTTGTTTTGTTCAAACTCAGTTCGAGAAAACTGGAACTGAATTAAGCATATCTCTGCCTAAATATATACCCCCAGACAAAAGTCTTTCTCCCCTTTTTTTCTTTGATGCAAAGTATGACATCAGAGAAAAACGGGGGAAGAGACTTTCCACGTGAAAAGGAAACTCGATCAAATAATCTCCGCCCCCCCCCGCCGCTCGTTTTTTTTCTTTTAATTATTTTTTAGTAGGGACTGATGCGAGGATATGAGATCACTAAACCAAACCTTGGACATTTTTGGTTTTCAGGGAAAAATCAATGCTTTAGGACAGCAATCATTTTCAATAAATATTGACCCTTATGCTATATTATGATTTTAAATCTTATCTATAGTTACATGAACCATTATCAAAATTGTACAGCATATACAACAGAGAATACTCTAGAAAATAAAAATACTATCATCTTAGACAATTGCTTTTTT